GGATCCTAACAATTTATTTAAATGGACTGCTACTGCTATAGCTTACTAAAAATTTTAATGAATTTACTTGTTTGCTATTAAGAAATTGAGATGCTAGCTAAAAAATATCTTAAAAGTTCGTATGTACGAAAACACATGAAAGTGAAATACATATTCACTCCTAGGGAATTCAGAAATAGCTAGTAGTGATAGTAAAGGAACATATATAGCCAAGCGAATATATGTGAATGCAGAGTGAATGTACATTCTCGGTATACAGAAAAAAAAGACATCAGTTAAACCTTTAAATGTCTCCAAAAATGTCCAAAATGGAAACAGAGACAACAGGCCAAATCTATTTGCTACACTGCAAAGCTAAGTCCTCTAATAAACTATTCTAACTCAAGAAAAATTGATCCTTAATTAGGCTAATTCTTTCACTTCTTACTACAGAATATTTGTTATGCTGATAAAGTCAATCTACGTAAAGAAATAATTCTCATCTTCTTTCCTTTTGTATTCTTTCTGGTAAAAGTTTAAAGCTCTGCTGAAATGAAGCATTTATTACATGGCCCTAGAAATACAACTGGCCATTACCAGAAGACTTTAAAACAGTTGGGGTTGGTGGTATACACCTGGAAACACAGCCACTTGGGAGGCTGAGGCAGAAGAGTCCCAAGATCAAGGACAGTCCAGGCAACTTAGTAAGACCCTGACTCAAGACTTTTTTTTTTTTTAAGAGACTAGGGATTGGCTGAGGATATAGTTCAATAGTAGAACATCTGCCTAGCATATGTGAGGCCCTGGGTTCAATCCCCAGTATCATCATCAAAGAAAAAGACAATTATGTAAGGTCCAATAACTCCTTATCTTCTAATTCAGCCCTCAAACTCACAATTTTAAAAAGGGTTAGGGAAAGAACACATTTAAAACATTAAGGAATTATTCCAAACAGAAACAACTTTAGTTAAAAACTATTAAAATTTGGCCAGGGATTTAGCTCAGTGGTTCCCCCGCCTGCCTCACAAGCACAAGGTCCTGAGTTCACGCTCCAGTACCAAAACAAACAAACAAAAAAATTAAAATTTATCACTCAAGCTAAATCAAATTTGAGAATAAAACATGAAGTCCTTACCACAACAATCACCTTACCCTGACCTTTTACTTTTCCTACCTCTGTAACACAGGTACACTTCAATTATCACTGAGTCAGGAGTTATAATAAAAGGCTTTCCCAAGGATCTTATTTCCCTTCCTCTATAAAAGTAAACAATTCTAGTTCTAGACCTACTTTCTGGCTTTATATGAACTTAAACCTTCATTTTCTCCCAAAAATCTTAACTCTATCCCACAATGTCTTTTCTCATCATTTAAATTTCCTAGGCTCAAAGTACACAGCACATCATGTCAAATTTCAATTCTCTCCAGTTTTCATTTACATATCTCTTTACTCCCAACCCAGGCTCTAAATTTCTCAAAGAGAAAACTCATTTGTTTCCCTACTCCATAGAAAAAAAATATATGTTTTATATATCTATCAAAGTGTATACCCTGGACAACTATGAGGCAATCCTGGAGGTTTCATAAAGAAATCTGCCATCCCAACTTGGTATTACCAAATGCTTGTAAGGTGAATTCACAGAATGATACGATGTCACAATGCAATCATCACAATGTCAACAAGATCACAAAGCATCTAGTTAAACTTCTTAGAAGCTCAACTATGGAGTCAGACGCTGTTTGCAGGCACTACAGTCATTACACTATCAGTGCACAGTCTCTACCCTTGTCCTAAACATAAAACAGGTATGGAATAGCATTTAAAATTTATAAACCTTAATAAATTACAATAATAACGATATTGGCAATTTCTAAGTGCTAGCTCTGAATATTCTACTTGCCCTCCACTCTTTCAAAATGTAAAACAGTCTAGAGAGATGTTTAGTTATTTCTACAGGGCATACATGCTATGTATAAAGAACAGCAGAAGCCCCAATACTATGAAAATCTGAAAGCAGCATTCCAACACTAAACAAAAAAGGAAAATGACCCTTTCTGCTGCTAAAGCATGGGTAAATACATTATCAGTAAATTACCATTCATTTGCATCAGTTTACCGCCTCAATGCCTTAAGATTATGAAAATCTTGTAAGGTTCCATAAAATATACTTAGTGATGTACAGTACAAAAAAGTTACCATTTACTGTGAGTTCTACAATAATTAAACTTACTGTATTAAGCATCACTATTACCTGTCCATTAAAATGAAATTACAATTTAAGGCAGAAGTGATTAAGATCCTAACCACAAAGAAAGGATGAAAACCTACTTTTTAGAAAAGTGAGGTTTGGAATGGTAGTGAGATGAATGAAAGATGGAACACACCTTAATCCCTGAGTATTTTATATCTTTATTAATCTCTCAGAAGTACACTAATAATAGAAACCATCTAAATAATGAAATGATAAATAAAAATAATCACCACAGAAAATGCTTCTAGAAGTGCCATTCTTGTTAAAGTTAAAAGAAGAAACTACATCAGTACAGCCACAATCTCACCCAAATTTACTACCTGAAGACAGAACTTTTAGTTATTGCAACTGAAAGCAAAACATATAACAATAATGTTTCTAAATATTGTAATATTTAATTCTAAAAACAGTATATGAAAGATAACCAAATCCCTCAAAATTCTCATTACCCCACAAATTATTTTAAATTTTGCTTGTATATCTACTATAAAATCAAGACACCTCAATTTACAAAACCTTCAGTAGCTAGCACTGTATTTGAAAGTGGAAAATCAGAAATATAAAAAAATATACACAACTAAACCAAATCAAATTATATGTTTTAAATATGATGGGAGAATAAACAGAAAAATTAAGATATATTTTGGGCTAGTAAATGAAAGTAGAACGCTTTCACCATAGCCCACCCTACCCCCATGTACAGAAACATCACAGTAAAGTATGAATTTAAAATCTATCCAAGGTGGCTGAAATTACTAATGAACTCTGTAGCATTATACTCTAAACCATGGTAACATATATAATATATATATATATACTACAGGCTAGTTTTCTCTATTACTTTACATTGCCATCATAAGAAAAAGAAAAGTACTAAGCATGCAAGTGTCAAGGATGAATTTAATCTTTACTTTGCTGTTTTGTTTGTTTGTTTATTCTTTTTTGGTAGCAGGGATCGAACTCAGGACCTTGCACTTGTGAAGCAGGCATGGCACCACTGAGCTAAATCCCCGGCCCTTGCGCTTTTAAACTTGATAAAGAATATAGTTTTAAGATCAAAGAAATTATATGACACTTCAAACTAAAAACGATATAATTATTACAAAAAGCAAATTTAAAAATTCTCAACTTACCTGGTTTCTTTCTGGATTTTTCATGACCCAGCTGATCTAAATCATTACATCCACAGGTGTACACAGTTCCATCATCCAGAACAAACACAGTATGTCTGAGTCCACACCCTACATCTCGCACCTTTTTGTTTATAAAAAAGTCACTTTTTCTGGGCTCTAGTACAATTTCTTCATCAATTCCACCCAAACCTAGTTGTCCAAAGGATGCATTTCCCCAGCACAACATGTCTGTGGTTATTTTGGTCTTCCAGTTTCAATACAAAATTCCCTTCTGAAACTCTGGAAAGTTGGAGGCACTCTATGTCTGAGGAGACAGAAAAAAAGTAGTATGATTTCAAAAGAAACAATTAACAACTGCGCTTTCACTAAGTGCTGCCCAACAATCAGTATGTTGTAAACATTAAATGTATTTTATAATATGCTACATGAGTATCATTTACTTTCAAAAACCAATTAGTTGTACTTTTAAAAATGAATATATAAAAATGTTTAAGCTAAATACATCATTTTCTATAATTCTGTGCATAATTCAAAACATTAACTACTTTTGACTTTTTGTTTGTGATAGATTAAGCTAGTGGAAATAATAAACAGATTAAAGAAATTTTTGGCCGGGCGTGGTGGCACACACCCCTTTAACCAGCACTCGGGAGGCTGAGGCAGGAGGATCACTGTGAGTTCGAGACCAGCCTGGGCTACAAAGTGAGTTCCAGGTCAGTCTCAACTACATAATGAGACCGTGTCTCAAAAAACAAAAACAAAAAAAAGAAATTTTTGTTTGCTTTAAATAATTTCAATGGGAGCAGGAAATAAGATATCCTTATTTCTAATGAACAAAAATCAAGTATCCAGGCAAGTACAGAAAGGCAACCGTGCAGTCTCCCTCAAATCATACAAACAATACTATATTTAAAAAGTCTGACCACGTCTGCCTTGAAATCGCAAGATCCTCAGTTCAATACCACCCACTCCCGTACCAACCCCCCCAAAAAAACAAAAAAACAAAAAAACCTGTTACCTACCTCCACATCAACAGAAAGCTGAAGGTCTTATCTGCAACAAAAATAAAACCAATAATAGAACAAAATTTAAATTAACCACAATACAAATGTCTCTTCCAACTATTCATACTGATAGGTCATAAAACAATCGCCTCCAAAAAATCGTATTTTACATGTCTAATAACTAAATCAATGTTCGTTATTGTAATACAGAAAAAATATCCAGTTGAAATATCAATACTTGCCCAAAATTCAAGATTTTTTTTTCTATTACGAGTGATACTCATGGCTAAAAAACTTCCCCTAGGCAATCTGTGTCTATCTATACCTCTGGTACAATTATTAGAAGATGGAAACAAAATGTACAAATAATCCCACCAGGACTGCTGATTTTTCAAGAACAGGAACGGGGGCTGGGTCAGATAGTTCGGTGGTGAAATCTGTAGAACTTTCCAGTATGCTATTTCTTCGCTTGTAAAGACACAAATAACAATGAGTCCACTTCTAAATTCCACAGATTTTCAAACACACTGCATTATTAACTAACACCCTTTCTACTGGAAGTCGGCCTCATTCCCACTGTAGTCACCCACACTCCTTACATCAAAAGTAAGTTTCAAAATCCTATTCTTCTACATTGCAGCAAGTGCCAATGTCCCAATCCACAGCCCATCCATTAACAGAAGTGTGATTTCACTGTTTTGGAGTATCAGAACCCGATAGCTCCCGAGAGTTCTACATTGTCCTTTTGGGTTTTCTTTCTTTCCTTCTGAGAAGGGGACACGGGAAAGGGTCCCCGACTTCAGCGCGCTAAACTGAACCATCCTTTTAAGTCAGTCTCGGAGGCGTCCTCTCGCCAGCAACAGGTAGGAGCACGAGTACAGTTTAGGCACATCTTTCCCAGAACACGCACCCAGATCAGCTCCGCAGCCGGGAAGGGAAATGGTCCGCACACACCCTGCCTCGCAGGCCGACTCCGGCGGCCGCCCGCTCCCTGCAGACACAGAGGCCGACGGACCGGGCTCGGCACCCGGGGCCCCAGCTCG